ATTCAGATTAATTCACCAAACTGGTTGTTTTGTTGTGTTTTCACTTACAGTATAGAAAGAACTAAAATGACCTCAAGAGTAAGTTGACCACTAGAATGAATGAATAATTATTTTTAATGAAATTCCTGACATGGAAAATTTTCATTATCTTAATAGCATTGTTCCATAAACTATTTTTAAAACCATTTCATTGGCACTTCACATATCATATAATTCTATAGTCTAGTCTTACCAAGAAGTGTAGTCATTACCACAATCAATTTTAGATCATTTTTCTCTTTCTTGTACTCATTATTACTCATATAAAGTTAATTGTAGCGAAGATATTACACAGCAAAACATTCTCCAATTCAACAACTTCTACATGTATAATTCAGTGCCATTGATCATATATACTCTTTGTGTTGTACAACCATGATTTCCAAATTATTCCACCACCATTATCATAAGCTCAATGCCCTCTAAGCAAAAACTCTTCCTCCTTCACCCATGGGAACCAAAGGTCAAGTTTGGTTTCTTTTTTTCTTTTTAGTAGTTTTCTTGCTATGCTATTCACAAATATACTTCTGTAGTTAAATCGCTTTTTAAAAGAATTGTACATACGTCATCACAATCAGTTCTAATGTGTCCTCTACCCTCCATGAACTTTTTGATACCCACTTGTAAAATGCTGTTAATTTGAGAGAGCAGTTAAGAATTTCTAGTCTGTAAATGTTAAAATTTCTGTTAGTGAAGCTATAAAATTACATTCATATCTACTACCCTAGTCAAAATATTATCATAGGTTCCGAAACTAAATTACCAAACTCTTTATGAAAGCAAATTAACTCTAAAAAGATTAAGCATTGCATTGGGTAAATCTGCATAAGACGCTTGTAGAGTGTTGAAAATTAGGTTATTTTGAGGATTAAGGTGCACCTGACCCAAGCCATGTTATTTTCAATTGCCTCACATGCATGTGAAAGTTGCACATTGAATAAGGAAGACCACAGAAGAATCTATGCATTTGAATTACGGTGCTGACAATGAAAATTGAAAGTACCATG